CATCTCCGTTCCCTTTTTGTGATCATTATCACAATATCGTACGTGTATATAGTCTCAATTTCAAAACATTTCTCTTCAAAGAAAACATTTATCACTTTTTCAAACATAACAATAAAATAAATATTTAGTTCACATAAGCACTTAAACGAGCATGTACATCGTGCGAGGGAACACGCCTTTATGGCTTAAGCAATTTCTTCTTTGAGCAATTCATTAGCCTTTTTCTTCACCTAACATTTATAAAATCCTTTCATAATATATGCGATTTCTCAATACTTATTACTTTTACAAATACTTTAACTTAGACGTTATCATTTGAAGTTCTTACATTCCAAACTCAAACTCAAACATATTGTACCATGAAATCACATTAAATATAATTTCCATGAAGGACTGGAGATTCCCAAATGATCCCAAATAAAATCTATCTTATTAGACATGACTCTTCTTAAAGATTTATAGTTCAACGGTTCATAAGATTAACTTTAAAACAAATGATAAACATCCACATAAAAGCTAAAAAATATTTTTCAAAACAGAAACCCTCTGAAATAAGTTTATCAAATATTTCACGGTATTTCACAAAAGTTTAATCAAAACAAGCCGTTCATTAGAATCGGCAGAATAGAGTAGTCAAAACATTTGTTGCCAAAATGAACCATCTGTAATAGGAAAAATTTTGTAATTTTCATATCTAACAGAATACTTCACGAGGTTCGTATGGATATAAAATCTATAGAAATCAGGGTTTTGGTTGTAGAGAAACAATTGATGAAATTAGACAGTTTTGATCCCTTTCGATTAAAAAATTAGTAGAGTTTTTGAAAACACGTAACTCTTATATAATTTTCCAAATACATTTATATTTTATATTTAAGTATCTTAATATGATAGAAAACAAGTGTGAAATTTACAGGAATTTTAGACATTTAAAAAACTTATTATAAATTGTACAAACTATTCTGTTTAAGAAAAATAATGACCTCGGCAACCCAAAATTAACAATTTATTTTTCTAAATGTACTTGCCCACAAATTCTGAATTTTTCACAGATTTACAAAGACACATCATGGAGTTTATAATCAAAGTTTAATATTTTTTTAATGCCTTTAACCCCAATGTTGAAAATTAGAACTGTTGATATAGTTTAGAATGAATAATATACAACTCTAGCATCCTTGAATTCTTCTCCAGTTTTTCCAAAGAGATTTTAGCACCATGAGATACTGCTGGAGAAATGGTATTTCATCGCCTGCTTCTTTATACTCCAAGGTTGCTCATCTCCTTCTCTCTTGAATACGATTTACTCATTACTTAAACTTCTATATTTTAAATTTGGCATGGATTTGAAAATAATTGAGGCTAGTTTGATGGCGTTTGGACTGGATTTTTGGTTGATGTACATGAAGGGAAGAATGTTTGATGAAGTTGAAGGTTTGAGCACTTAAATAGAACTAACACTAAGTTTTACTTTGCCTTGAAGTTTTGGAAACAAAATTTTTATTTTTATTTTATTTTAATACTTAGCAAACTTGAACATTTGGGTGACCAAATCCCAAGAAAAATTTGCAGCCATAGTTACGTTTGATGCTCAAACTTGGTGCCGAAGTGTTTCATTGTTTCCTTTCTTTTATTTTCCTTGAATATTTTTATGTATTTGTTTAGTTTTCCCCTCCTTTTCGGACACCGTCACCTAACTCTTGTTACTTGAGCATAAAGTAGCAACATGGCCATGTTACCTTGATACTTTGTCCCCAAGAAATCTAACTTGTGGCTATTGTGTAGATTTAGTTTGTTATTAATTACTATAATAAGATTTTATATGGATGTAAAGTCTCATCGGTAATCTTTCTTAACTCGTACTTTGGTTTAGTAATTGTTCTATGCATGTTTTGCCTAGTGTAATAATGATGAGTACAACTCACTAAATAATCCAAACCTATTTCATTTACTTTTGGTTTTAAATTATTCATTCGAATAATTTTTGGAAAATTTCTGGGTACTACATCCTGTCCCCTTAAAAGAAGTTTTGTCCTCGAAACTTACTTGTGCTAATATCTCTTGAAATGGGTAGGGGATATCCTTATCTCTACTTACGTTTATGATCTTCTATGGGTGCTTTTCTCTCTTTTTTTTTTTCTTTCATGTCTACGTATCACTTATGAAGTTCTAATATTACACCCTTGCTTTCTGTTAAGGTACACTAGTCGATAGTTTAACATTCAAGTCCTACTTACAGTCTCCCAGTAAAGTTGTGTTTTTTCTTACGTCAATATAAAATTCTTTCTATACTACTAGGTCTTGAACATCGGAATGGACTGCATCACCAATAATGATAGGTCTTAATTTCTTATATGGGTACCCATGAAACTCACACAGTTTCTATCTTTTGTTTGACATTAGCTGTCAACAATCATTCGCTTACAGTCTAATTTTCTTCTTCACAGGGATGGACTTATCTCTCTCATTCGTTTGGTTGGCTCTATTCATATGATATGTTATCCTCTATTGATTTAACCTTCAACTCATTCACTATTACAATGGTCGCGCTTTTGAGTCATAAGTTCTACATAGGAAAAGTTTCATTTTATTATATTTTTTTTTGGCTTTCCTCATATTTTCTAAGAAGTGGTTCATTCCCTTTTATTGTCTCTCTCAATGTCCCTTCTTGTATTCCACAATTTCGGGGCAAATATTAGCCTCACATTACACCTCATGTTCATATGATCACTAGTATAAATTCCATTTAATTTCTTTGGAACATCTTAGCTAACCTATCTCCCAATAGCACATATATGTTTTAATATAATGTGATTAAATCGATAGAAATGTTTTACTCTTTCCAAATCAGTTACATGCTCATATCTCATGAGATGAGAAGTCCTATGGATCATTTACTAAATTTTCCTAGAACTCCAAACTATGTACATTCAACGTAATTCACAATTTCGACTTTCTTGACCATAAAAAACTACTATGTTTCATCGTTTCCATTGCCTCGAATTTGCGGCACCTAAGCATCTTGCTTAACTTTGGATTACTACAACATGCCTAAGCATACATACTTAAGACGAGAAATCACTCTCATAACTAAAATTTTCAAGGTACCTATTTCTCTACATGATGTGATTAGGGAATCTGGTTACAAACTAAAACTCAATGAATCTTCCTATATCTTATATGTTAAGTTACCCAAACGGGTGGAAACGTAATATATCCATACTTCTATGTTAAGAACGACTACTCAATAAAACTCGTTACTTAAACTTAGATCCTCTCGCTGTTGTACCCTTTTTAGCCCGACATATAGTCCGACCTGACTTCAGGATGATAACCTCAATTATGGTACAATACATTTCTTCAAAATGTCTAATGATTATCAGTCTATAACTTTGATCATATCCGAAGTTATGACATAAAGGATTTATCAATTATCCTTAGATTTTCACAGGATCCATGGAGACTTTGATCATATCTCTAGATTCAAATATGATTCTAGCATAGGCTTATACCAGATAATAAACTAAGGGAGTCATTCCTTCCTCGTTCCAAAATATTCAATCCTAAACTTAGTAGAGTTCTGTACTATACCTGTAACAATTTAAATTTAGTATCTCAGAATACATTTCCCATCTCTACAAGACTCTTCTGAAAAAGTTTCTTACGAGTGATTATCAAATCCAACTTCCATCATAGATCAAGGGGCTATTCATATAGTCCCAACATTAGAACCTGAATCATTTCAATTTGTAGTTAAGCTTTTATGTTTCTCAATTCCCCATACACGAGTGTTTGTTGCAAAGCGTAAAAATGGCAAAGTCTATGTTCTATACTTACGTATCAATAGTTAACTCTTATGAGTATCGAACGTGTACTTCAAAATTGAATAATTATTTTTCACATATACCGTACCGTCACGAATTGCACCTTACCTTGTATGGTTCGATTAAATTTGACATTTTCGGATGCAAAAATTCTGATCCTTTTTAACATTAGAAATATAACGTACAAAATTGATGTAAAATTGTGTTTGACCATGTGATAAACAAGAATTATGGCAAAAAAGAAAAAGAATTATTGGCAGTATACAATTCGTATATGTTGAACTGTATTTTGTTACTTACATTTATTTGAGAATGTTGACTTTTAACTATGGACTAACATATGCACCCAATGACATTTACTGCAAAAATCAATTGAAACTAAATTATCTTCCACTAACTGATTGTTGTTGTTCATCAATAGAAGTCTTTCTTAGTAGAAAAAATTTCCTTTAATGCTTGCTACTCAATCACATTAAACAAATTTGATTATGATAATCCTTATTTGATGAATTACTATCGTAAAAGAAAAGAAAAATTACTGAAAATTCCAAATTTAAGAATGATAATATTTTAGTACATATGTATTAAAGAAATTGCCATGATTAATTATTAAGTTTGAGATGATAGATTAGGCTACACTAAAATCCAAAAAGAAAAAAAGAATTTGAATAAATTAATTTTTTTTAATTTCGACAATACATTAATTTAAATTCAATGAACCAGTAATCACAAAGATGGTAAAAAATCAGACCACTCCATAAAACAAGTTCACCAAAATAGACAATCCATTTTCAAACTTATGCATGCATCAGATAACATTAAATGTTGACTATGCGATTTGTAAATTGAAATAAATGTTTTTTTTATGTATAAATACATCTCCATAACCCACCACAAATTGTAATCATTCATTTTAGTCTTCAAATACAAAAGAGAGTTAAAAAGAAAAAAAAAAAAAAGAAGAAGAAGAAGAAGTTATACTTCAATAGTGCAACAATGGAGTTTAGCTTGTTACAAGATCTTCCGCTTGAGATCATTGTGGCAATATTGACGGTCTTGCCGATTGATGCTTTGATGTGCATGATGTGTGTATCTAAGAAATTTTTTTCTTTGATATCTTCAAGCGAATTTATCAAGCGCCATCTTTTAGCAGCACTGAAAGAAAGTAATAAGTTTATGTTATTTGATCCTAATTTCGTGTACGATGAACCTCAAAAACCTTTCTATCTACTTTCTCATGAAAACCCTATTAATTTTTCAACCATTAAGAGAATCCCAAATGTCATTGATAGTGACAGCGATAGTTGTGGGGCCATAATCCATTTATGGAACCCATTTATTAGAAGATCCTTGAGTCTTACAACATCAACTATTGGTTTAGAGAAATTCACATTTAATGATTCTAGGCATTTGGCTCTTGGGTTTGGTTACGTATCTCAAAGGGATGATCATAAGATTGTCCGAATCCTTTATGTGGAGGAAGAGGAGAATGGGTTTCTTAGCAGTGCAGCTGCACAAAAAAAAATTGCTAATAAAGAAAACATTGTTCCATTCGTTGAGATATTTTCACTCAGAAGTAATACATGGGAAAAGATTGAATCATTCATTTTTCCATGGTATTTGTGTGACTCTATTTCAAGGGCTTTTGTCAACAACTGTGTCCACTGGATGGCATCTCACATGGATGGCAATAGCAATAATAGCGAGCCAGTGATTCTTTCATTCGGTCTTCTGAATGAAGTGTTTAGAGAAATAAAGTTACCTGCTCACTACAATTTTGAAGAGTCCATGATGGTCGAGGTTACTATTTACAAAGGTAATCTTTCACTTCTATCCGCGCATAACCCTAGTCTTGGCAACCTACAACATTGTTTGTTGTTTGTAATGGAGGAATACAGGAATGAAGCATCTTGGACAAAAGAGTTTGATGTTGTGTTGGACGGGTTTGTCCATTTTCCATCATTGATTACTGCTAACGATGAAATCGCCATCATCCGCACAAATGTTGACGATGGAAAATCAGAATTATATTTGCATAATTTTTGTAACAATGAGAGTAGAGCATTTGGTGATGATCATATTGAGGTACCAGAAAATGTGGACTTTTTGCCGATGATTGGGAGTTTGGTTCTTTTGAATTCTAAGAATGAAAACATGGAATTGCAACAAGGAATTTACGATGATGAAAAGGAAAAACAAGCTTTGGACAGCGCGTGAGTTTCATGGTTAATTTAGACATAAAGGTAAAAATTATTTACTACTTCCCTTTGTTCATAGTTTGTTTTTGTGTTATTCTGTAACTCATGTTATTGCTGGTTGTTTTAGTAACCACTTTTTCTAAGATATGGTAATTCAACTAATTAATAATCTTCTTTATGCAGGCACATAAGGTTTACCTGCTTTTTTGTGCTAGGGAGGGAAAAAATTAAGAATCATTATGTAATAGATTGTTATTATGTTTTTAATATAAGTATGAATTTATGGATTAGTTTTGAACTTATTTGGATACATATTATTACCATAAATGTATGATTAATTTCTAAATGAATATTTCATCTCTTCAAAATCAATACCGTTATGCAATTCAAGTGAATCCGTCTTATTTCATTCCACTTTCTTGAATCATCCTTATAAATTATTCCACTTTCTTGAATCATGCTCATTTTCTTGGGCCTTTTCAGAATGAAATTTTGGAGTTGGGAGTCATGATTAATTTTTTGTCGAAGAACAAGTATAGAGACATTTTTCCTACCCTCTTTAAAAAATGACTTAAATGCAATGGCTGCATTCATATTTTTAATTCAACAAATCATTCACGATATAAGTGAAATATCATGACTCCTTATTACTTTTCCCTAAGAACTCCCAAACTTTTTTCTACAGTTGTTAATGCGTCTACAACGGGCTGCCCAAAACAATTATAATCCAGTTCCTTTGGCGAGGATTAAAGTTGATAACTCAACTAATACATCATTATATTAACTTAATAAACTAATTTGGATGCATATGAATGACTCTGAAGATAGAAATTACTGATGAGAGGTTACATTCTTGTAGTGTCTAATGTTAATTTTATGTAATACTTAGAGTTTAGGCATCTTTAGCCACACTCTTGTTTGAGCCATTAAAGTTGGTGGTCTTTGGCTTCAACATATTCAAGCCGCTCATACGATGTAGAATCCTTGTTATATGACGGATGAAGTAAACTCTTGTTGCTAAAGCTATAACCTATAATCTTCTCGAGTTCAGCAAGATCACACCAAAATAACATCTCTCGTGATAATTCTTTCGCCACTTTCTTTCTACTTTAAGTTCCAGTAAGGAAATCATAACAAAACCTGCAAGGAAGATAAATTGAAGTCTTAGCATCATCCTTCCGAATAAGTAGTATAGTTTAATGATATATATGGATTCACATGAGCTAATCCGGAATCAAGTTCTTGTTTTCCATTTCCACATAAACATCCTTGCCTAGACAGGACATGGAAGACTTCTTCTGAATAATTATTTATCAATCGTTAACTTATTCTCCCTTCCCTCTACGAAAAAAGGTTGACTATTTTTGGATTCCTCACCCGAAAAAACCACAATTTCCAAGTGCCAAAGCATCCAAATAAAATTTTATAAATCGGAAATGGTAGAATTAACTTCAACCCTAAAACAAAAAATTGATTGCAGATGAAAACCAAAGTCCCAAGGTAGTATTTCCAATGTGGGTTTATCATAATCACAGTCAAGAACATCAAACAATAAAGCCAAAGGGCAATCAAATCATCCATCTATAGTGTATGCAACTATTGAAGTGAAATTAGAAGGCTAAGTCGGAATGGAGAAATTAGAAGCCACCACCACCTCTGCAATTTCATTTGTTCATGTTCTCTGAACTGCTGTTGTGCCACCAAGTGGGCATTTCATTTGTTTTTGTAATTGCATACTCAAATGGAAAAATATCTAAAGAAAAAATGTGAAACCCTCCAGATTATCTAAGTTTTTTTTTTTTTTTTTCCTTTGAAAAGGGAAAAAATTTGAAGATGAATCAAGATTTGATAAGTTTTTAGTTCCTTACACATTCACGTATAACTTTTTAAAATCAATTCTTCAAATTTATAAGTGAAATCTTGGATCATAACTCATATAAGTCATAAGTACCTGCGTTGAGCATTAGAAGCGTTCATGTGTCATTGAAAATTTTTTGGTAGTAAGGAAATGAGCAAACTTGGGGTCAATATAATAATCTTCAAACCATATTGAAAAATAGATCATTTTAAACAACCTTCTAGTTACAAATTCGTGTGCAAAATTTGGAACGCCTAACATATTCACAATATAAATTCTTCTTAAGAAAATAATAAAAAATTATTAAAGAAGTCTACCTTTACATCCACGTATATTATTATCATATAATACTATTTCTCAAAGTTAAAACAGTAACATGGCAAACTTGAAAAGAAAAGAATTCTTAAAAATGTAATAATATATGCTTTACTCGGCTATAATATTTGCATTTTGCACTACTAATTTACTATCATTATAACTATATGCTTGGCCCGGACGGATGTTCGGGCACCCTTGTGAAAAAAAAAAATATTCCGAAAAAAGATTCGGCCATGTTTTTATTTTATTTCACACGTCTGCCTCTAAAATTTTGGTATAAAGTTATATAAAAAGGAGTATTGTTATGATATTAACTATTCTTGTCATTTTTAGCATAGGCGGTTATTCGGGCACTATTTAACATAGCGTTTGTAATTAAAAAAAATTATGATGAAGAAATAACATTACCTGTGTCAAAAAGCGAACAAACGAAATTGTGTTGATTAAATAAGAATATGAATGTAATAAATGATTAGTAATTTATACATGCAATAAAAAAGAAGAAAACACTTTATTGTTATGTTGCTCAATGAACTTTTGATGGGTTGTGAATATAATTTATTCACATTCAGAAGACTATTATAGATTTGCACTACTTGTACAAATCACTTTGTCTCGAGGGCCTAGATTTGACATAGTATTTTTCTTGCAAGACTAAGTTCACTGAACCAGGAACTACCATTCTTTGTAACTAGAATTCTCCCAATTACTCTGCAAATAGTTATTTGATGACCTATATTTAACTACAATAGCTTTGCAAATAGCTTTATACAATTGTACGTAGTCTTTCACTGGAACCAACAAAATATATAGATTTGGCGATTAACAAATGCTCCCAATCATGCATATCTGCACTAAGAGCAAATTTGAGAATCATATATGGAAAAACATGAAGAACAACTCATAATTTAACCTAAAAACTCGTCTGAAGCCGGATAACCAACTCCCAATCATCCCAAATAAATCAAAAGCATCACCAAAGTGGCGATTTATATGTATCAATTATAGGATACATATATTTCATCTCCACCCGTTACTTATTTTCATTTTCTTGTACTGGAAAGCCAGAAATAATATCGAATGTAATCAATAACTAATTTAAAGAAATGAAAAATAGATCCTAACATAACTAAAAAGTAATTCTGTAAAAAAAAAGGCAAAATAATTAGATGTCACTGGTTGTACCTCGATGGAGGGGGGGGGGGGGGAAATGCTGGTATGATCATCCATGGTGCAGCAAGCAAGCTGTCAGAAAACTTGAAGGAAAGAGTACGTTCATCATTCACTTGTCTAGGGGCAAACATTGCTGCTGTCGGGTTGATGAACTCATCAGGAGGGAATGGAGAGAATTGTAGAGGACTTGGTGGCGTGACAGAGTTTTGTTCTTTGAAAGAATCAGTACTGCAACAGGTGAAGTTTTTAGACTGGGAAACATCGCCACTAAGATAATCCATCATTGATATTTCTATAGAAGAAGATATGCCAATAGAGGGGCAGAATGAAGGATAGGTCTAATTCTAACTGGTTCAACAGCAGAGCTTGCTGTCTCCATCCATGTCATTGTGAAATATCTATTGATCTGTTATATTGAAATTTACTGATATGATCCATACCTTAAACGGGAATGGAGATGATGGAAGATAATTACAATGGTGCCAACCAAATGAAGCACATAGCATCATCGACGGGTAAAAAAAGAAGAAACAACAAAGAGCTACACAACTTGAAATGGACAAAAAGTATAAATAATTCCATTTAACCAAAACCCAAAGAAGAGGAGTGGACAGTAATCATTCAAAACAAAACAAAGTACAACAATAAGAAATTTCCATTCAAATCGGATTATTTAAACTACATTTAGATGATTCATGCAAATTTTGTTGGTATATAGAAAAAAAAAACGGTTGTCCAATCTAGTGCTATAGATTCCTGATTTGAAAAGCTACTCCGTATGAAACTGTTAGATTTAAACTATCGATTCTCTTCGAGGTGTGGGATAGAATTCAAAAACCTGTAATTTTTAATTTGTTTTATTCAATTCCCTGAGAGGACGATCACCACCAACACAGTGGCACTCCACAATCCTCTGTACCAGGGCAGCTAACCACAGCTGATTTGTTATAATTGAAAGCCGAAAGCACTAAAATAGCAACCTTGCTGAACTTTGTATCTGTAACTTTCATAATCGAACAATCCCTTAACCTTGTCTTTGAACATATCTACCTTCTCAGAAGCAACATGCAACAAATGATTAGGGCAAATCCTTTGAACAATCAATCACCCTATTAATGTCCTGTTATATATTCTCTGAAACAATTATAAGTCTTATGGCTAGGGGACTATAGTCGGGTGCTATCACTAGGATTACCAATAGTCATACTACGGAAAGCAATGGTCATCATTAATTAGTGATGCTTGTTGACCCGCCAATCTCCCAAATCAAGTATATGGCATATGCAGAACCAATGCCGAAATTTTAACAATCAACCAAATTCTATAAGAATACTCAGGATTCACCCTCATATCCCAAATACAGTTCAACTGACTGGATTTAACATCAAGAAATTGACATGCCTGTGTCTCCACAAATTTCCCATCAATATATTTGGCAACTTTTAGCTAAACAACAGAGAAAAATACATATAATAGCCCTACGTTCCAAATTTGACATCAAATCAATTATGACTTCTAAAGACAAAAAAATAAATACAACTTTTTACTGATTCGATACCTCACCATGTGCAAATTATTCAACAGTATAAAGGGCGAGAATTATATAGAAATCATTCCAAATGCAAGAATCAATATCTTCCACTGAAATTATGGCATTAGATATCTCAAAT